TTAAAATTTTTATTGTGGTTTGGGTGAAAGTTTACAGAGCAAATTCACTTTTCATTCAGCAGCTCACATACACTTTGTCTCATGACATTGACTGCAATTTTCCACAATGCAACAGCTCCCCTTCCACTTTCTCCCCATAGCTACCTCTTCCATGTGTCCTTCACTCCCATGCACTTCAGCCCCCGAGCTGTTCCCCTGTGCATACGTAGCCCTTCTATTCTCCCACGATTGATCTCTCCAAGGAATGTATCTACCTGATATCAATGTTCAGCTCATATGCCTACCTTTTGTTTGGCTGGAAGCCACGGGAGTAGGTTCAATTCCAGACCTGAGGAGCAGCTAGGGGCCATAGTCCCAGTGGTTCCATCAGGCCCTATCAGACCAGCAAAACTTTTGAACCTCCAAACTTTCAATCAGCAGTCAAGGGTAAATTTGCTCCGAGATTTAGGGCAGAAGAAATTTAAAACTTCTCAGGGGTCTAGAGATTTATTTTAAGAGTTATACTTCCTTCCTGCATCTCTAGGTCATCAGATAATTTCAATTTTTGTTACAAACCTGGGCCATCAGGCAAGTAACTATTTGCAATCTCCTTAAATACTGACTTGAAAGTGCAGAAATCGGAGTGTGTATGGTGGTCTTTTCCTCTTTGGGTTTGTTTCCCTCTTGTCAGTTATGCAGCTCCAGTCTGGCACACAGCTACAATAGGGTGAATCTAATAGATGCCCATTTCCCTCCTGGCCCCTAAGACTCTCCAGATTCCTACTCTGGCTCCCCTTTAAACAGAAACCAGGCAGGCTGCCCATGCCTGCCTCCAGGCTCCACCCCCTCATATTTTCTGCTTTTCTTGCTGAAAGCTGTTGACAGCCACAGGCCCCAAGTCTGTGAAGAGCAGGCTGAGCTCACCACCATGGTCTGCCTAGTCCTACCTACTACCATTGCTGCAATCCTCCTCACTGCTTTCCTCTGTTCGGCACAACTGTCCAACATAGGGGAAATAATATGTGTCCTAAATATTTTGGGAGAAGCAGTCCCATTAAGTGGGGAGCAGCCTCCAAATACTCCCAATAGGGAAAGGTGCCCTGGTCAAAGCCCAGGCTAAGAGGTATAATAACCACAGGAACAACCCCAGAGGGCAGAATCAGATAAGACTGGAAGAACCTTCAAGTAGCCAAAGATTCCCTTTTCTCTCTACTCCCTAGAAATGCAATACCCACAGCACAAGCCAGGCTCGCCCCAATTCCCCTTTCTATTCTTTCCAGCAATATTTAAGCTGCCTGTTTCCCATATGACCCAAATCCCACTGGGTAGAATGAGGACAGGTTGGGAGGAAGAGAGAGCTTGCATACATATGAAGTCATGGAACAATCTGCCATGTTTGGCCCCATTCACCCACCTTAATGGTAACTGGAATAGGAGGAGATGATATGTAGGATTCAGTGTGAGATGTCATAGGGCTGGTACTATTGGATGGGGCATCTGAAACATTTCCAGGAAAGAAGAAGCTGGGCTCCAAGGTCTTCTCTGAAGTAGAAACGTTGGTTGGACTGGTAGATACTATGGAGGCTGGAGAAGTCTGTGACTGGACAGAAGAGTTCATGACTTCAGGAGCTACGGTGATTCCAGAGGTAGATGTTACGTTGACTGAAGACTCTGGGACAGACCAAAAGACAAATGTGTGCAGATGTACATACACATACACACATGCACATACACACACATCTCAGATCACATTTTGAATTAATACTTGATAGGTAATAATAGAGATATGGCCTTCAACCTAGACAAGGAAATTTAGGGAGTTAACAGTTACTTCATGTCCTAATCCTGACCAAACTCATTCCAAGCCAACTGAAGGACCCACAGCTACAATCTACAATTTATCAGAGGTACCTTCAGGATTCTGAAACTCAGCTGGATGCTAGTCTACCCCAGAGAAGCCAAAGACTCCCAATTTGAGCCTGTATCCATTTCCTTCACTTAGAAGAGTTCAGAGATCTCTATGAAGTCTTCATCTGGATCTTATTTTACCACCAAGCTGAACTCAGCATGGAAGCCAAAGTACAAAAGGCATACCGATTAGCGGCTAAGCCTTACTTTTTTCCTTTGGAATTGAGTTAGACCTGAGAAAGCTGTGACTATAGGAAGAATTACCTAGAACTTTCTTCAGGGTGCCCTAAGTATGATGGCCAAATCATTAAAACAAGTTGCTGGAATGATTCCATTCGTGTGTAGCGGTAAGTGGGAGGGAGAGAGACTGTTCTGCAACATCATAAATGCCTTACCCAAGCACTAGAGGCTTTTCCTTGGGGTCTGAGACAAATATGCTTTCTCTTTACCTGAGGAGGAGAAATAGGCTTCTGAGGTTGCATTGCTGTCCTGAGGGACATGGCTGAGACTGGTACTTCCAAGAGTACTTGGTGTTGTGGCTTCCTGGTCAGACACTTTTGTAGAAATAGTTGAAGGTATTTCTATAGTAACAGGAGTCAAGTTGCTAGGATCTGTAAAGCCGGAGGCTACAAGGAAACTAAGAGTTAAAAATCAGAGCCTAAACGTTCCTAGAGCTTCATGACATCATCTGATTCATTTTCTTGACTTCAGGTAAAATTCATCTGGAATACTTCCTACTGCCCCTGGCAGTGAAGCAGCATCCTCCTGGACAGGGAACCAATTTCCCACTACAAGATTTTTCCTAAGGAAAGAAAACTGTATACGCACACAGATGTCTATTATAGTGTTATATATAAGAAAGAACAGTTGCAAGCAATTAAATGAATTACAATAGGATAGATGGTATACACACTTAATAGAACATCACATATTATCACTATAAATAAAAATTTACAAAACTACAGTAACAGGGGAAGCTCTGGTGGCGTACTGCCTAAGGCATATGACTGCTAACCAGAGAGCTGACAGTTCAAACCCACCAGCCACTCCTCAGAAGGAAGATTAGGCAATCTACTTCTGGAGATACCGCACCAGAAACCCCCTCCCTCCATCCTTCCCCACCTCTGTTCCAGTTTGCTTTCAGTGAGGTACTCTCCTAAAAGGGTTTTTTTAAAAAAAAAACCAGTTGTTGTTGAGTTGATTCAGACTTGTGTGATCACGTCTGTGCCAGAATAGAACTGTGCTCCACAGGGTTTTAGTAGCTGATTTTTTGGAATGAGATCACCAGGCCTTTCTTCCAAGAGGCCCTGGGGTGGACTTAAAGCTCCAAACTTTCTTTTTTTTAAAATTTTTATTGTGGTTTGGGTGAAAGTTTACAGAGCAAATTCACTTTTCATTCAGCAGCTCACATACACTTTGTCTCATGACATTGACTGCTGGAGGTTGGGGACAAAGCAGTACTGTATGTGCAAAAGGGTTCATCTTTGTTGTCTGAACCTCCCATGCACCTCTCAGGCTATGTCTTCCTCTACCTCAATGCCACCATGTTGATCACTCACATTTGGTATATTGCCCTTCCCTTCACCCACATCAATACTTGTCTCTACCTATCTAACAGTGTTCCCTACCCCGCCACCACTGGTAACCAACAAAGAAAATTTCCTTCCGTATATAAACTTTCCAGGAGCTCTGGTAGCATAGTGGCTAAGGCACTTGACTGCTAACCAGAAGGCTAGCGGTTCAAATCCACCAGCCACTCCTCAGAAGGAAGATGGGGCAATCTACTTCCATAGTGATACTGCCTCGGAAACCCAAGGAGGGGTCGCTATGAGTTAGGTTCGACTCGACGGCACATAACAACAACAACAACAACAACAATATAAACTTTCCCTTGACTTTTTCAATAACAGACTACTACAATATTTGTCCTTCTGTGATTTGTCTCCAATTTTTGCTGACTGAGATCTAGGTCTGTATTTTTCTGAGATTTCCAGGTAAATAGTAATGTAGAATGACACCTCTTGATTCTCAAAGCATTCAGACTTTAGACTTCTAGTTACAAGGCAATTGACTTAGGTAGGGCCAACAATGTTTCCTCTAAAGCTGACAAGGGTATCACCCTTCCACATCTGCCTCCCTCCCCAACCTCCAGCAAGTAGATTAATAATAATGCTGAGAACAACAACCATGTATTAAAATCATGTGTCAGGTAAGCAGTGGGAAGAAGTGATATCATTACCTATTTCAGAGACGAATAACCTGAATGACAAAGCTGTTGGCCAATAGGGAAGACCACAGCTCACATGAGGCAAGTAGCAATGGGGCTACTGAGCTATAGCTGATTCTTTTTTTTAAATTGATTTCGTTGTTGTTGTTGTTGAGAATATACACAGCAAAATATAAACCAGTTCAACCATTTCCACAAGTATAATTCAGTGACACTGACTACATTCTTCAAGTCACACAACCTTTCTTACCTTTCTTTTCTGAGTTGTTCCTCCTCCCATTAACATAAACTCACTGACCTCTAAGGTTCCTATCTAATCTTTCAAGTTGCTAGTGTCAATTTGATCCCATATAGATAAGTCTTAAAAAGAGTGTAATGCTTAAGGAAGATATTGTTACTAGTTAGGGAAAGTATAGCTGATTCATGAGTGGACTCCGGAAGAGGCTCAGGCTGGTTATAAACAAACCACCAAGAATCTAGATTCTCCTTCTGCACCTCAGGGCAGGAAAGGATGAGCTCCTGTCTGGCTCAGGGAGAAGGTGAGTATCAAAGTAAAAAAGATAGGTAAGCAGGTCCAGGCTTTTTCCTTCCTTACATAGTGTCCTCTTGCCAATCTCACCCCAAGAGACGAATTGACTGTGAGAGGCCAGTGGTGACTTTTCAGAAACTGAATTGAAGCAACATTCTCTCAAGGCACTGTTTAGAAGCCTCCCTTGACACCCCTCCTTCTATTCCCCCTGCTCCAAACACAACAGTTCTTAGGAATCCCAGCCCAGTTCAGCCCTTTTCTCTCTCCAAAGGAAGCTGGCCTGGCTAACGTGATGTCATGCTTTTGAATCCCCTCCCCCAAGGGGCCTCCTTCACCCAGACAAACACGGTTGAACTTTTCCAGATGTGAAGAGAGACCTGCTGCTAGTTCCGAGGACAGAGGCGCCTGTTCCAGAAGAATGAAGCAAACTCTGGGCCCAGGCCAGCTACTGACCACTAGGGTTTGACTCCTAGCTACAGCTGACTCCTCCCACCCACCACTGGGCTGAGCTCTGAGGAACAGGTAGCAGGATCCATCTGCAAATGAGACTCCAACCTCAGATACCTGTGCCTACGGTAACAGGGGAGCTTCTGAGACTCTGGACAAACAGGGAAAAGGGGGCAGGGTAGGCAGAAAGGTTAGCCCAAGTGATAGGATTTGAGCTGGTGTAGAGCAAGGGGACATCTTGGCCAGGGGCCTGAGAACCAATCCTGATGTAGACACTCCAGTGTAAGGACTATCAAGTGAGTGAGTTTCTTGGTTTCACTGTCTCTGGGGCTCTTTAGAGGAGCTCCAGTGTTGCTGTGTTAAGGCATTTGGCTGCTAACCAAAAGGTAAGTAGTTCGAACCCACTAGCCATTCCATAGAAGAAAGATGGAGCAATCTGTTTCCATAAAGATCTATAGCCTTGGAAAATCTATGGCAGGGGGCAGTTCTACTTAGTCCTATAGTGCCACTATTAATCAGAAACAACTAGATGGATACGGGGGGGGGGGGGGGAGACAGATGAGGGGGTAGCTTTCTGGGTGGCACACACAGTTAAGTGTTTGACAACTAACTAAAAGGCTAGCGGTTCAAATCCACCTAGAGGCACCTCAGAAAAAAGGCCAGTGATTGATACATACTTCCGAAAGAGGACAGCTGTTGAAAACCGTATGGAATATAGCTTTACCTTGAAACACATGGGGTTGCCGTGAGTCAGAGTCTACTTGATGACAACTGATTTATTCGGTTGTTGTTGTGGAGGCTCTGTTACCAATTGAACTGTGTGGCTAAAAATATGTGTGGTAAATCCTAAACTCTATACCTGTGGTTATAATCCCGTTTGGGGATGGGCTGTCTTTGTCATGTTAATGAGGCAGGATTAGTGCAGAGTGTGTTTTGAGTCAATCTCTTTTGAGGTATAAAGATTAAACAAGCGAGCAGAGAGAGAGAGAGAGAGATGTGTTAAGACACATGCCAAGACACATGGACATCTTCAAGGAATCAGGTAGCAAAAGCTAAAGAGACAAGGACCTTCCTCCAACAGAGAAAGAAAGCCTTTCCCTAGAGCCGGTGCTCTAAATTCAGACTTTTAGTCCCCTAAACTGTAAAGGAAGTAAATTTCTGTTTGTTAAAGCCACCCACCTGTTATATGGTGTCTCTGTTATAGCAACCCTAGATAACTAAGACAGGTTCCTTTTATGCAGCTCTTATGAAGAGACTAGATCCTGGAGAAATGACATTTATAAGAGCCAAGACTGACCATGGATATCTTTTTATCCTATCTTCCTACAAACACTCATGGCATTAAATCATCAGATACTGACCTTTCCTTATCTGAGCTTTCTGATCCTCAACTCTGTCTATAGGAGAGAAACAGCAACCTTACCAGTCAGTGACAGCCTGTCAGATTCTAAGAGACAATCGATAAAATCGATTCCACTCCATTTTAGATGGGAGAAACACCCCTAACTCTACAGAGGACAGTCATACAATTTAAAATTGAATTAAAGACTATCTTCTGATGTTTACTTAACATTCCATCCTTCTTAATTGTATCTCCCTAGGTACCCTATTTGATTGCAACTCACTTGTCTAGAACCTAAAGAAAAGGGAGGAGGCAGAGTAGCAGGAATAGCAAAAAGAAGGATTCTGAGAGGCCAAGTAAGTCACTAAATTCACGGAGTAAAAAACATACATTTAACTTAAAAACTGGTTCACACAGAGTTGATTCCGACTCATGGTGCCCCTATGTGTCAGAGCTGCACTCCTTAGGGTTTGCAATGGCTGATTTCATAAGTAGATGGCCAGGCCTCTCTACTGAGATACCTCTGGGTAGACCCGATCCTCCAACCTTATGGTTTGCGAGTTAACCATTTGCACCATCTGCACCACCCAGGGATGCAACATTTAACTTATAGGTATTTATGCAGAAGGAGTTACTCTAGTTTTACACAAAATTTTAAGAAGCTTGGCTAGCTGACGCCTTGCTAAAGCTGCTAAAATTAGAAGGAAAGGAGTATTACAGGCAAACAATAAGGAGAAGCAACAACTTAAAACTAAGAAACAGAAATAAATGAAAAGCAGACATAAGTATCAAAACCCACACTAGTCTTACAATCATTTATCACATGAGTAAACAGATATTTGCACCTAAAAAACTATTAAGGATGTTACTGAGTTCCACCAGTGTCACATTATTTTCATGATATATCTGAGTCATAGGAGCTCTGGTGGCGTAGTGCCTAAGGCATGTGACTGCTAACTAGATGGACAGCAGTTCAAACCCACCAGCCACTCCTCAGAAAGAAGATGGGGCAATCTACTTCTGTAGTGATACCACCTAGAAAACCCAAGGAGGGGTCGCTATGAGTCAAACCTGATTCCATGGCAGTGAGTTTTTTTTTTTTCTTTAATCTGAGCTATGAAGGTTAAATTCCTTTTTTTTTTTTAAATTATTTGTATGCTAAGGACTGTAGTGCAGCTGGAATGCTCCTTGGAAACAAGAATGGCCAGGCTTCATCTCACCTACTTTGGCCATATTGTCAGAAGGGACCATTCCCTGGGGAAGGATATCATGGTTGGTAAAGAGGAGGGTCAACAAAAAGGGGGAAGGCCCTCAAGGAGATGGATTGACACAGCGGCTACAATGATGCGCTCAGGTATACCAAGAATTGTGAGGCTGGCACAGGAACGGGCAGTGTTTTGTTGTGCTGTACATAGGGCTGCTATGAGTCAGAGATGACTCAACGGCACCTAACAACAACAACAACATGCTAAGGAGGCAGAGGAGTATATGGTACATTTTCCAAGTTTTCTATTACAGTTAGTAAAACTGAAGACTTTTTTGGTCTTTAAGGGAGGTTACAAATCCTCAGGGACACAGAAAGCTCTACTACCTGAATAGCTAAATTCCCATAATTTAAGAGACTGAGTTTTCTTATACTTTAGTTCTCACAGACCCAAACCTCCTTAGATTTACTTTCTCCTGGTGCTGTTTTGTTTCCTGATCCCAGTCCCATTCTGCCCACTCAATTCTAGAATGTGACCCAAGAGGAGTTCCTGAGTGGAATGCCTAGGTATCTCAGCCCAGAGTTACCAACTATGAAGAAGGAACAATCTGGCAGAAGTTAACTTCTGGGAGCTCATTTCTAGGGAGACAGTTCAGCCTCTTTTGATTTCTAGGACATCATGTTTGGTAAAGAAGGCGGCCAACAAATATGAGGGGAACCCTCAGTGAGATGGAGTGACGCAAGAGTTGTAATAATGTGCTCAAACACCAATTATCCTAGAGATGGTGCAGGACCTCACAACATTTTGTTCTGTTATGCAGCAGTTCACTATGAGCTGGAGCCAAATCCACAGCAACCAACAAGAGAACGGCCTAGAAACAAAGCACTCGGGCTCCACGATCAGACACACCGTGTTCCAGCACCTCTCTACCATGTTCTAGCTGGGTGGCCTTGCGAAGTTCCAAAACTCTCTAAATTTCCTATAAAATGGGGTAAAAAGAGTCCCTACCTTTTAGTGGTTTTAGATAAGTGGTGTAAAACAGTTAGCCCATTTGGTAAGCACTTAAAAAATAGGTTATCTTTATTGTATGCCCCCTTCCTTCTGCTTCTCAGAGCATTTAAGACATTTATCTCCATCACTCATCTGGCACCACATCATATATGCTGTTTCCTGAGTACTGGCCTTGTCACCTCAGTCAGATTATAAATTTCCTGAGTGCCGGAACCATCTCTTACACTCTTTTGTTCTACTCCCGGTGCTTAGCACAGTCCTCTGAGTTCAGAAGAAGTGCTTGGATTGAATGGCAGCTACCTTGGGTTGAAGTGTTCACACTGACGACTTTCAGATTCAGTGGTCTCCTTCTGATGCTGTATTTTAAGAAGGGATTGATCAAATTACAGTGCCATTCCTACTTCCGTAGTGATACTGCCTTGGAAGCCCAAGGAGGGGTCGCTATGAGTCGGGGCCGACTCGATGGCAAATAACAACAACAACAACAACAACATGAAAGAATTACCAGAATTAATAAAGTTCTAGAAACCAAGTAATATGGTCAAAGGCCTAGTGATATTTCATCTAGAACAAGTTTGGCTAACTACAATTAGTGAACTAAATCTGACCCATGTCCTGTGTTTTAATGGTGAGGGGGCCTTGGTCGCACAGTGGTTAAACTGCTCAGCCACAAACTACAAGTTCAGCAGTTAGAACCCACCAGCTGCTCCGCGGGAGAAAGATGAGGCTGTTTGCTTCCATAAAGATTTACAGCCTTAGAAACCATATGGGGCAAGTCTTTCTATACTATAGGGTCGCTATGAGTTCTTTAGAGTATCACAGGATTAATCTTTTCTTCTTTTTCATGACAATCCTTAAAGAGTTTTCCAGTTTGCACCACTTAATTATACAGTGGGTTAGTGAGCTAAGAAGTCATGGACAGCACAAAAGTTTAAGCGCTCAGCTGTTAACTGAAAGGTTGGTGATGTGAACCCACCTAGAGGCACTTCAGAAGAAAAGCCTGGCAATCTGCTTTTAAAATATCACAACCGTTGAAAACCCAATGGAGTGCAGTTCTACTCTGCACATACGGGGTTGTCATGAGTTACAACTGACTCCATGGCAGCCAATTTGGTTGTTTTGGTTAGTGAGCTAAGAATGACGTTTACATTTTTAAAGTGCTGCAAAATAAAACAAAGTAGAACATGCATCAGAGACCACATATGGCCCCCAAAACCTAGACTATTTACTATGTGGCTGTTTTCAGAAAAAGTTTGTCAATCTCTGATTTGGAGAAGAGGAAATGGAGAGAGAGAATAACTAACTTCTTCAAAACTCACTGTTACTTATTCATTGTTATTTTTCTTAAGTACCAATGATATGCAAAAGATCTTGCTCAGCACTGTGGGGACAACTCCCTCGTCCTGTTAGGTGTTGCTGTCATTATGATCATATATCCCTGCTTTCAAAGAGCTTATAATTTAGTGGAGCAGACTAGAAAGGTCTTTAAGGATTGTCATGAAGAAGGACCAGTTTAATCCTATGATAGTCCAAAGAACATAATTAGACTAATGATTAGAAGTTATTGGGAGGCTAATTTCACTGTAATGGCGGCAGCAGTGGTTCAGTGGTGGAATTCTCATTTCCATGTGCAAGGATGACCTGGGTTCAGTTCCTGGCCAATGGACCTCACACACAGCCACCACCCATCTGTCAGCAGAAGTTGCATGTTGCTATGATGCTGAACAGGTTTCAGTGGAGCTTCCAGGCTAAGACAGACTAAGAAGAACAGACTGGTGATCTACTTCCAAAAAATCAGCCAATGGAAACCGTATGGATCGCAAGAGTCTAATCTGCAACCCATGCAGATCCTTATTGTACGTGGGGTCTCCATGAGTCAGGGCCAACTCCATGGCTAACAACAGATGTCCTTGCAATACAAGGGGAAAAAACCTAAAATGAAGGAGAGTTCTTTAAAAACGGAGTAAGTTACTTTGGGAAGCATTCAAGAAGTACTACCCCTAAGATAGATAGAGGGGTCTATCCCTCAGGTTTACCACGAACTTAACCATTTCTCTGTTATCATTGAAGATAATTAGGGATAACAGAGAAATGGGCTGATGCTTGAACTTCAGAGGCTAAACTGGGGTATGAGTGTAAACCAAGTGTCCATGGCCAGAGGTTTCTCAGCTCATTAAGCCGTATCTTTGATGTTCTAATAGTATGTCTCGGACCCCATCCCACTTACTGTGGAACCCCAATATCCTCAGGATTTTCTGAGGGCATTTCTCCCAGTCACCTCTTCATCATTTCCTGACTCTGCATCTCCCTGTCCTTTAGCTTCAGCAGTTCTCTTTCTGCAGTACACCATAAGCCGCTAAGCACCTACTCCTATCCCTTTATACCCCCATAGCACCACTAACACAAGGCTAGTGTGTGCAGCTGGTTTTTAACTGAAGGTTTGACAAGATGGTAAGAGACTACAGGCCAGCCCAGAAAAGACAATGGCTTAATCTTGAAACAGTGCCCAAAATCTAAACCGACTGCTCTTGAGGTGATTCTGCCTCACAATGACCCTCCAGAACAGAAAATAACTGCCCCATGGGTTTTCCAAGGCTGTAATCACTACAGAAGCAGATTGCCACATCATTCTCCCATGGACCTGCTAGCAGGTTTGAACCACCAACATTTTGGTTAGCAGCTGACCACTTAACCATTGTGCTGCCAGGGCGGTAAGCCATACCCTACCAGAAGAAATTTCCCCTTGGCCAGATCTTTCCTGCCCCCATCCACCACTGCTTCTTTCTTGTTCCAGGCACCTCTCCTTCCTTCTGGTTTCTCTGCTGCGGGGCTCTGGAGTCCTTCAGTCTTTTGTCTCTTGGATACACTTAAACAAAAAGTTTCACTTTTTCATGCTCAGCAACTCAGCCCTTGCACATCCGGATTTGCCCATGAGGCTGTCTCAACCAATAAGGCACTAAAGCATTTTCTGAGAACTGTCCACCTAGAAATGCCACTGCCCTAGAATGAATTGGTTGTGTGTGTTCCAAATCTGGAAGCAGCAGACTTCCCAGTTAAGGCAAAATGTCTTTTCCTTTACATTTAAAGGGAACTCATTCATCCCCTAGGGAACTTTAGCATGTAAGTGCTAGGAAGCACACCTTTGTATGCATTCCTATAGGTTTTTTCACATTCTCCCAAGATGCAAACATCTTTCCCTTGAGCACAGACTAGGTGATCCTGGGGACTAAAAACTCTCTGTAGATAACGTGTTTTTATTTCTTGGGTGAGGAGGGAAGAGAATGTTCTCATTAGAAAAATCAAATATGGAAAGTCTGCCCTAATGACTTTGAGAATTTTCTCTGCTGTCGTTAGGTGCTGTCAAGAAAGTTCCAACTCATAGTAGGCTTATGTACAATTGAACACAACATTGCCCAGCCCTGCTGAGTGATCCTCATAATCATTATGTTTTACTTCTTTGTTGTAGCCACTGTTACCAATCTATCTTGTTGAGGGTCTTCCTCTTTTTTGCTGACCCTCTACTTTACCAAGCATGATGTCCCTCTCCAGGAACTGGTACCTCCTGATAACATGTCCAAAGCATATGGGATGAAGTCTCACCATTCTTGCGTTTGAGGAGCATCTCGCTGTACTTCCTCCAAGACAGATTTGTTCGTTCTTCTGGCAGTTCATGATATACTCAACATTCTTCACCACTACCATAATTCAACGTCATCAATTCTTCAATCTTCTTTATTCATTGTCCAGGTTTTGCATGCATATGAGACAAGTGAAACCACCATGACTTGGCTCAGGTGCACTTTAATCTTCAAAATGACAATTTTTGCTTTCAAAAGGTCTTTTGCAGCTGATATGCCCAACGAAATACGTTGTTTGATTTCTTGACTGCCGCTTATATGGTTGTTGATTGTGAATCCAAGTAAAGTGAAATCCTTGACAACTTCAATTATTTTCTGCTTATCGTGATGTTTCCTATTGTAAGGATTTTTGTTTTACGTGACTTGTAATGCATACTGAAGACTATAGTCTTTGCTCCTCATGAGTAAGTGCTTTAAGTCCTGGTCACTTTAGTAAGCAAGGTTGTACCATCCGTGTATCACAAGTTGTTAATGAGTCTTCCTCTATTCCTGGTGTGGCATCTTTCTTCATATTAGTCCAGCTTCTCTGATTATTTACTTACTACACAGACTGAATAAATATGATGAAAGAATACAACGCTGACACATCTTTCCTGACTTTAAACCATGTTCTGTTCAAACAACTGCCTCCTGGTCTATGCACAGATTCTGCATGGGCACAATTAAGTGTTCTGGAATTCCCATTCTTTGCAATGCCATCCGTAATTTGTTATGATCCACACAATCAAATGCCTTTACATAGTCAACAAAACATAAGTAAACATCTTTCCGGTATTTTCTGCTTTCAGCCAAGATCCATTTGAGATCAAAAATGATTATCCCTTATTCCACATTGTCTTCTGAATCTGGCTTGAATTTCTGGCAGTTCCCTGCCGAAGTACGGCTACAAACATTTTTGAATTATGGTTAGCAAAAATTGACTTGCAAATGAGATTGTTCAATAATTTCTATATTGTTACATGATCTTTCACGGCAACGGGCACGAGCATGAATCTCTTCCATTTGGTTGCCCAGGTTCCTATCTTCCAAATTTCTTGGCATCAACAAGTGAGCACTTCCAGCGTTACATCTGTTTGCTGAAAATCTTAACTGGTATTCCATCAACTCCTGAGTCTTATTTTCCACCAACGCCTTCAGTGCAGCTTCGACTTCTTCCATCGGTTCTTGATCATATGCTGCCTCCTGAAGTGGCTGAACAGTGATAAGTTCTTTTTGGTATAGTGACTCTGTGTATTCCTTCCGTCTTCTTTTGATGCCTCCTGCTTTGTTCAACATTTTGCCTGTTGTGTTGTGTTGTTATGTGCCGTCGAGTCGGCCCCAACTCATAGCGACCCCTCCTTGGGTTTCTAAGGCAGTATCACTATGGAAGTAGATTGCCCCATCTTCCTTGTGAGGAGTGGCTAGTGGGTTTGAACCGCCAGCCTTCTGGTTAGCAGTCAAGTGCCTTAGGCACTACACTACCAGAGCTCCATTTTGCCTGTAGAATCCTTCAGTATTGCAACTGGAGGCTTGAATTTTCTCTTAGAGGTGTTTTTTTTTGTTGCTGTTCTTTTCCCATACTTTCATATTTTCAGTTCTGTACTCTCCAGGCCATTTAGTTAGATCAACCAAAGTCAATGAGAAAGAGGGCTCAAGTACCCTAAGGGTAGAGCTGAGCAACAATCCTACTCTGAAAGGCAGCCCAAGGCCTCCAGCCCAGGGTGTAAGGGAAATCAGGCAGTGAGACTGACCATAAGAAGTGGAATTTGTTTCTCCTTTTTATTTGTTTTTGTAGGACTCTTTGCCTGGGTTTATCTGCTGCAGTTTGGCACTCCTTGCTCTGAGCTTTTGCAAAGACTCAAGAGAAGGAAGGAGAGGAGGACAAGTGAATGAGGGGGCCCAGGAGGTGGAGCCAGAGGGATAAAGGAAAGAGGCCTGGCCCCTGTGTGTTTATCAGCCAAACAGGAATGCTGCTTAAGAAACCCATTGCAGAGGTTGTGCCAGCTGGGTTGGCCCTACAAGGGGGAAGCACTGAGGACCACTAAATTAGTCAGAGGTCCCACAGGCTGCTGCTTCTCGGTGGCCATGTGGCAGAGATTCAAGGGTGGAGTCCTCTCCCCTCTGGAAAATAGCTGATAAAATTGTTTTCCCTTTTCTTTTTCCCCTCTTAAATGTAGCCCCAGACAGGATATGGGTGTGGGGTCAACAGGCACGAAGGACCCAAAGGAAGAAGAGGAATGTGAAGGGGTGGAGCCAGGGGAAGGAGGGCGTGTTGCTAGGGAGAGGGGAAGGGCAGGAAGCTGAGCGCTCGGAGGAAAGAGGTACCCAGAGCATGACAATGGGGTTTACTAATTACCTGAAAGGAGCTCTGGTAGCATAGTGGCTAAAGCACTTGACTGCTAACCAGAAGGCTGGCGGTTCAAACCCACCAGCCATTCCTCGGAAGGAAGGTTGGGCAATCCTACTTCCATAGTGATACTGCCTCGGAAACCCAAGGAGGGGTCGCTATGAGTTGGGGCCGACTCGACGGCATATAACAACAACAACAATTACTGAAAGCCTTCCACCTTGGCTAGTAGTGTGGCGGTGCTAGTCTGGTAGATTCTCAGCCCTCCTCAGGCCCCACCTCAAGCCTGACTCAGGTCTAGGATCCACCTACCCCTGACAAAGAGACCCCACTTTTGGTTGTCTAGTGTGCCCATGTCCATGTCAACTTCTCAGTGGAACAGAAAAAAGACCTTCCCAGAATAAGGTTCTTTGTGGGGGTAAGTGATTAGAGAAACATAGAACTCCCTTCTGCCCTAAATTTCACAATAATGATAGCAGACTTTCTGAAATTTTCCTTTGTTAGTATTTTAAGGTACAGTCACTCATTTCATTTATTCCACAATGTGTTCTAAGACAGAAAACAACTCCTAGTACTAAAATATTCTAGAAATTCTCAGAACATAAAACTATGATGTGGCCTAAGCAGTTTGGCTAAGTTGAGAATGAGAGCCCATGTCCCATTCTTCACCTCTCAAGCTAACAAAAAAAAAAAAAAAAAAAAAAAAACCTCATTGCCGTTGAGTCAGTTCAACTCACAGCGACCCCTCCTTGGGTTTCCGAGGCGGTATCTCTACGGAAGTAGATTGCCCTATCTTCCTTCCGAGGAGTTTGAACCGCCAGCCTTCTGATTAGCAGTCAAATGCCATAGGCACTATGCCACCAAAGCTCCCTCTCTCAAGCTTAGACACTAAAATTCCCAGCCCATCCACCCAAGGTTTTTGCAGAGATGGAGTGGCTGCCCTCACCTGCACCTCTGCATACCCAAGACAAGAGGGACACTGACCAGCTGAGGAAATAAGAAAAGGATGGATCTCATTCGGCCAAGGACCGGATCATCACAAGCTGTGTAGCCAAAGGAGAGGGAAGCATCTGGTCAGAATCTGAGCAAATGGCCAGCTCAACCCTGTTACGAGGGTGCAGTTTAGCACCCAGGAAAGTCTCCATTCCAGAGCTTCAGTACCTCAGAAATAGCTTTTCTTTTGCCCCAAAGGCCAGGTCTGACTGCCAAACAGGTCCACCCAGAGCCTCCTTCAGAGATTCCTCCAGCCCAGAGCCATTTCTGTGCAACAGGGTGGACCCAAAGGAGGATCAGCAGCACAGATTGAGAACAAAGGGGCCTAGTGGGCTGGGCCTGGGTCACTCTGTGGGAGCCACTGTGGGTGGCCTGAGGATGTAGTGAGTGAGGGTAGGGAATTGAGAACCTGAGAGAACTAGAAGCAAAATGTTCAGCAAAAACAAGACCAACTATATGATGTTTAAAACTCTCTAAGTTCATATGCTAGAAGCCCTGGCGGTACAATGGTTAAGCTCTTGGCTACCAAACAAAAAGTCAATGGTTTGAACCCAACCCCCACTCTGGGGGAGAAGACCTGGCAATCCTGCTCTCATAAAGATTTCAGCCTAAGAAATCCTATAGGGCAGGTCTACTCTGTCCTGTATGTCTATAGGAGTCAAAATCCACTCTACAAAATTTCACAAATCCATATGATGAGACTGCAAATGTTATCCCCAAATGAAAGCAATTAATATGTATTTATTGAGTACCTACTATTTCTGACCAAGTGAAAGAGTGGAGGATTGTCGTGACCTGTCCGTTAGCTTTAGAACTTGGAGTTCGGAAAGAAAGAAAACCACCAGGTCTAACAAGTTTGATTCTGGGGGAAAAGGGATGCGAGTAGGGGTTGGGCAAAGGGAGGCAGGACTCAAAACTCCATCTGCCATCACCTTTTCTCCAGCTGGGATCAGCCTGAGTGTCCGAAGAGAGAGCTGTAATTATTTAGCTTTCTGATATTAAATGCAGGGGTTTTTCACGTACTATTCTTTCATCGCCTAACTGGGCCTTTCTCTTGGCCTGCCATCCACCCATTAAACGTAGGGGCCTCGTTCTTCGTTGCCTTAGCTCCCATTCCTTAATGTCCAGTTCTGCCTCCCCGCTTTAGAGGACTATGGACTCCTTCCCCACCACCCGCTGGGGCCACTGCTTTGGAAATCAACTACCAGCAGTAAAACTTTATTGCTTCTCTCCTCCCTCTCTTCTGGTGTCAGCTCCAGCACTGTGCTCCGCATCTTTGGCAATGCGAGGAGACACTGGCATCTCCAAAACGCTCATTTTGGAGACAATTCCAAAGAGTCTATTGTCCTACCCTGGAAAGTCTAGGGCGCGCACGACCGGCTTAAACCTTGAATGATTAACACCCACGGCGTGGTCTGCTCCCCTTTCCACCCCCGCCAATTCCCAGGTGAGATAGTGGTCCCAGCTGAAGTTGATTCGAACAGTCCTCTTCCCACTACAGCCTGGCGCAGCCTTACGCAGCAGTGCGTGGGTTGGGGCAGGGGTCCTTTTCCCCTCATCTCTGGGCGCTCGGCCCCCGGTACAGCCTCGACCTCCCCGGACGCAGAAGACCGGCCGGCCGCAGCGCGCGGTCTGTACTCACGTAGCAAACTTAGCAAGCAGAGT